GTGCTTTCCAGAACTCAGGGGTGGTCCAGAGAGAGGAGCACTGTGAGGCTCCTCTCCCTGGACCACCCCTGAGCTCTGGTGGGCACCGTGAGGCTCCTCTTTCTGGACCACCCCTGAGCTCTTGTGAGCACCGTGAGGCTCCTCTCCCTGGACCACCCCTGAGCTCTGGTGAGCACCGTGAGGCTCCTCTCCCTGGACCACCCCTGAGCTCTGGTGGGCACCATAAGGCTCCTTTCCCCGGATTACCCCTAAATTATGGTTGGAACTGGTTGGAACTGGGCAAAATTATGTCGCACTGCAGTGGTCAGCCAGTGTTGTGTCAGTGGAGACGAGAGGAACTTAGGCACCATGAGGCTCCTCTCCCAGGACCCCCCCCCTAGGTCCCGCAGTGGGCCAGGCCATTGTTGTGTAGAGTGCTGTAGTACACAATATGGTCCCGGTGTTTGGGCAGACCGTTGCTGTGCAGACCCGAGGGTAGAAGTGGGCTCTGTGGCAGCATGCTGAGCCTGCTTCCTGTGGGTGGACCTTAAGCAGGAGGACGGTGACACCAGATTTTGTACATACGACTTAGAAGAGTTCATATTTGTGTAGATCTGCTCGTAAATCAGTCAGCAGACACAGAAAACAGAAGGCTGGTGAACTTTTTCCGAGAATCCCAACCCCGCAGAATCTTCCCGAGACAACAATTATGTTTCTGCTCCGGCAAATTAAAGGCTTAAAGCAACACTTGGCACCCGGGGGAAATACACGTCTCAGACGTACAAAGGAGCCGTCACAGTCACTCTGAGGATGTTCAAGTCAACTCATGTCCATCAAATGACTTCTAAATGCACATCTGGATCCAAGATACAAAGTGTCATATATCGCAGCTTACCCGTCCTCAGATGTGGTGGCCGCATTCCTTTTCTTTTTTTTTTTTTTACCCTTTTCTCCCTTTATTTGTATCTGGTGCTCTGGCCAGTCCGTGTTATATTTCAACTTCCTTTAACAGGCCAAGCAAAGCAAAAGTGGCAGATAGAGGGTTGGGCCAAACCATTTAACATTAATGACGCTGATGTAGCTGAGGTGTAAATGGGACAGGTTCCACCCGTATACTGCCGAAGGAGATCGTAATCATCGGCACCTTGTCTGGAACACCCAATTCTTCAAGGATTTGAAGTGGTGGGAAATGTAGGGGTGTACTTACTTTTTCCATGTGACAAATCTTCATTTTTGTGAACTTAGGTCACGGTTCCCACCATGTGTAGCTCCATAGATGACAATTAAAGCCTAACAGCAAGTGAATGATTACAAAGGTCGCCGTTACCTATTAAGTGCCCCAACTTTTGTCTTCAGGGTTCTTGTTTCCTCTTGCTGCGGCCCGGTGCCTTTTTAACCCGTTGTCGGCTGACGGACACTGCTCCTTCCCAGGCATGGCTCCCATAGGCTGGGGAAGGTGCGCAGCCAAGCACGGTATGCATGGTACATGGCCTAGCTTTGATCTCTGTGAGAAATCTGATAAGAGGGAAGGTGCCCTCGGGGTGTGCACAGGACTAGTAATACCGGTGTGTTTCTAACAAGTGATGTGTCCATGGCCTCCGTGTCCACAGAGAAAACCAGGAGACATGTAAAGAACATATTTATATATATTACATTACACGCATTGTGATGGAGTCTTCCTGAAAATGTTTTGTAAAGCGTCCAATTAGTATAATGTGCATTGTGAACAGACGTATTATGTATTATGCTATGGACCTTTGTTATACCGCATAGCTGCCGGGTGCATCCCCCTTGTATGCACCCCCCTAATATCCCCCCTTATATGCCTCCCCCTTATATCCCCCCTCATTGCAATAACTGATTAGTAGGGGATCCGTGCATGGATCCCCTCCTGATATCAGTGGTAGGGATTGGATGTAACAGCCGTGACTTCCGTGTCCACCCAGTTTTTTCCCTCCATCGAAAAAAGTGAACTGACCGGACCCCATGTTAGCCTATGGAGAATGGGATGTACATGGACATGTGTCCCTTCACATCAGATTACCCCGGATCCGGCACGATCAAGTCTAGCAAAGCAGAACACTGTTCCATATGTTTATCCGGACCTGCCCGGAGCGGGGGGCAACCGGATGTAAACGGACTCCCCTGTGTTTAGATCCAGCTGTCCATAGACTTCGATTGGCCATCTGAGAACATATACCACCAGGGAAAGGGTCCTTCAGAGGCCCCAAAACACTGTGGCACTTATGGATCTTGGCCTCAAACACGCATGCATCCCATGAAGCCAGAACTTTTATCCCGGAGATCATTGACTCCCTAGAAAGAGAAGCCCATCTTATGGATCTTGGCCTTGAACACGCATGCATCCCATGATGCCAGAACTTTTATCCCGGAGATCATTGACTCCCTAGAAAGAGAAGCCCATCTTATGGATCTTGGCCTTGAACACGCATGCATCCCATGAAGTCAGAACTCTTATCCCAGAGATCATTGACTCCCTAGAAAGAGAAGCCCATCTTATGGATCTTGGCCTTGAACACGCATGCATCCCATGAAGCCGGAACTCTTATCCCGGAGATCATTGACTCCCTAGAAAGAGAAGCCCATCTTATGGATCTTGGCCTTGAACACGCATGCATCCCATGAAGCCGGAACTCTTATCCCGGAGATCATTGACTCCCTAGAAAGAGAAGCCCATCTTATGGATCTTGGCCTTGAACACGCATGCATCCCATGAAGCCGGAACTCTTATCCCGGAGATCATTGACTCCCTAGAAAGAGAAGCCCATCTTATGGATCTTGGCCTTGAACACGCATGCATCCCATGAAGCCGGAACTCTTATCCCGGAGATCATTGACTCCCTAGAAAGAGAAGCCCATCTTATGGATCTTGGCCTTGAACACGCATGCATCCCATGAAGCCGGAACTCTTATCCCGGAGATCATTGACTCCCTAGAAAGAGAAGCCCATCTTATGGATCTTGGCCTTGAACACGCATGCATCCCATGAAGCCGGAACTCTTATCCCGGAGATCATTGACTCCCTAGAAAGAGAAGCCAACAGCCAAGATAGCAGCTCTTTAAAAACCAAAAGATGGACTTGGGCAGGGGCATCCCGAGGCCGGGTGTTACCTGGAGCGGAGACCGGGTGACACCCCGCCATGACGGTTGCTGGCAGACATCTTGGTGATGGACTCTGGCAGAGAGAGGAGGGGACGTTCACACGGCGGGATGAGGTATGCCGCCGGATCCTCTCTCCTGACACGGTCCATTACCGAGTGCCCGACTTTTTAAAGGGGGTGACACCAACATGACTGTCAGTCATATTGGTGTCACCTCTCCAATGGTGTCCCCCGGGTGCACATTTTCGTAAATCCCCCAGAAGCCCTCATTTTGCCTCGTCGGGGAGGGGGGGAATATACTCTTCAAACAGTTTCCAGCATCTGCTCTGCACTGCAATTAGCACATATCACCCACATGATCAGAGATCCCCCCCGGCTGTGTCAGCTTCCGTCATCTGCTTTTCCCATACCCGGGCTCTGTATTTGAAGCCCTCTAATTGTACACTCATTACAGTCACACGAACCAGTGTTTGGGCTGACGAGCAGAGTTTATCGGAAAGCGGACGCCGTCTTATCGTCGATATTTTGTCTCCGGGGATCTCTTGGCGCCTTGCGTTGCGTCAGCAGAGATGATCGCGTTTTGTTCTTCCAGTCCTCTTGTAAAGTGGACCTGTCTCCTATACATGGAAGCCTCAGTGTAGGAACAGGGGGTTCCGGTGGTTGTAACTGGGCCCGAAGGGGACAGGAAGTCCTCACAGCGACCCTCTGGACCAGGATTAGGCAACCTTGAGCCTCCAGCTGTGGTGAGAGTACAAGTCCCATCATGCATCTGCCTCTAGAAGACATGTCTGTGGCTGTCAAAGCCTTGCAATGCCTCGTGGGACTTGTAGTTCCACAACAGCTGGAGTTAGGAGGTTGCCTATTGCTGATCTAAACCCAAAGTATACCTAAGATTGGCACTGGGTGGATTTGTAGTTTCACCACAGCTGGGGGGCCGAGGCCTGAAGGTGACAGTTGTGATTGATGTGACTTTTGTATTTCTTATTAGGGAGCGGAGATCAATGTCACAGGCCAGGGTCAGCCATGTTACTCCTGCAAGGACCGCTGTCCGGGATTTCTGGCACACAGGTGGCGGTACGTAGACCACCGGGGACATTATATATGAGACCACCTGTGTTATGTGTGGTACCGGTCTCCTCCTGTGTTATGTGTGGTACCGGTCTCCTCCTGTGTTATGTGTGGTACGGGTCTCCTCCTGTGTTATGTGTGGTACAGGTCTCCTCCTGTGTTATGTGTGGTACGGGTCTCCTCCTGTGTTATGTGTGGTACAGGTCTCCTCCTGTGTTATGTGTGGTACGGGTCTCCTCCTGTGTTATGCATGGTACGGGTCTCCTCCTCTGGTATGCGTGGTACGGGTCTCCTCCTGTGTTATGCTGCAAGTGATATGGAGGTAGCCTGTGATGGGAACTCTCTCCCTCAGTCCCGGTGACACGGATCGGATCATCTCGCTGTTATTTCAGGTTTCACATTCCGCAGACTTCCTCATTGTACTGCCGGCTCGCTGACATACGCAGAGCTCAGCATGTAATACCACGAGGCCACATTGCTTATCCATGCAAGAAACTAGGCTTACCCAATGCATTGTTGTATTCAGCTTTGCGCCCCCCACTTCCCCCAATGCCAAGGTACACGGCTAGGACTGCCACCAGAATTACAATGTGACGCCAAAACCCTTTTCTTTTATTTGCATGGATTTGGGACGGGTTAAAGATGAACTCCAGGCGTGCAAATAGGTAAACCTCGCCGTGGGACTACCACCAGGCTGTGTGGGCTACCTGCTTATCTTTCTCTAAGGACAAAAATCCTGATTCTTGGTTTTGGCCAGAAGAGATAGCCAGGAGAGAGAGAGTGAGGAGAGAGTGAGGAGGATGAGCGAGGAGAGAGAGCCAGGAGAGAGAGCCAGGAGAGAGAGTGAGGAGAGCCAGGAGGATGAGCAAGGAGAGAGAGCCAGGACGATGAGCGAGGAGAGAGAGCCAGGACGATGAGCGAGGAGAGAGAGCCAGGAGAGAGAGCCAGGAGGATGAACAAGGAGAGAGAGCCAGGAGAGAGTGAGGAGGATGAGCAAGGAGAGAGAGCCAGGAGGATGAGCGAGGAGAGAGAGCCAGGAGGATGAACAAGGAGAGAGAGCCAGGAGGATGAGCGATGAGAGAGAGCCAGGAGAGAGAGAGAGTGAGGAGGATGAGCAAGGAGAGAGAGTGAGGAGAGAGAGCCAGGAGAGAGAGCGAGGAGAGAGAGTGAGGAGAGAGAGCCAGCCAGGAGAGAGAGCCAGGAGGATGAGCAAGGAGAGACAGACAGGAGGATGAGCAAGGAGAGAGAGTGAGGAGAGAGAGCCAGGAGAGCAAGCCAGGAGAGCAAGCCAGGAGAGAGAGCCAGGAGGATGAGCAAGGAGAGACAGCCAGGAGGATGAGCCAGGAGAGAGAGCGAGGAGAGAGAGTGAGGAGAGAGAGCCAGCGAGGAGAGCCAGCCAGGAGGATGAGCAAGGAGAGAGAGCCAGGAGGATGAGCAAGGAGAGAGAGCCAGGAGAAAGAGCCAGGAGAGAGAGCCAGGAGGATGAGCAAGGAGAGAGAGCCAGGAGGATGAGCAAGGAGAGAGAGAGCCAGGAGGATGAGCAAGGAGAGAGAGTGAGGAGAGAGAGCCAGGAGAGAGAGCGAGGAGAGAGAGTGAGGAGAGAGCCAGACAGGAGAGAGAGCTAGGAGAGCCAGCCAGGAGAGAGAGCGAGGAGAGCCAGCCAGGAGAGAGAGCAGGGAGAGCCAGCCAGGAGAGAGAGCCAGCCAGGAGAGAGAGCAGGGAGAGCCAGCCAGGAGAGAGAGCAGGGAGAGCCAGCCAGGAGAGAGAGCAGGGAGAGCCAGACAGGTGAGAGAGAGAGAGTGAGAAGAGCCAGCCAGGAGAGAGAGAAGAGAGGCAGCCAGGTGAGTGAGGAGAGACAACCAGGAGCGTGTGCCCTTCAACACTGTTTTCCTTGCTCCTCAAGTTCCAGTGTCTCTCTGTGTCCCGTGCCTCCTCCATGCACTCACGTTGGAACCCCACGGTTGCCCCTGTCCGCCTGACATCGTGACATCTTGCGTCCGGGTTTTAGCTGGCCTGAAACACGGAACACAGAACATACAGGACTCAAAACCCGGACACGTGGTAACCCCAGGAGAAAGGTTAGTGGTCACCTCCGCAGGATCGAGGATCGGCTGCGCATATCTTCTTCATTCCAGCCCTACTGCAAGTGTTAACTTTTCGCATTACCTGGAGTTCTTCTTTAAATCCCCTATTATTTGGGGTTTTTTTTGCCATCTGTGACCCATTTTGTCACTTCCTGTCCCATAGACACAGCAGGAAGTGGGGGGGAAATCTCTCTGAAGAAGGAAGTGGACGGCAGAATGGGGTTCATTGATGTATGGAGTCATTATACAGACGTAATATAGCGCGGGGTGCATTTAGCTACACCAGCTCACTGAGGGGTTTATGTTTTTACACAAGATTGACACAACTTTCACCCAAGATTCCAATTTGGATTCAATATTAAAAACGTGTGAATCTTGGATGAAGGTTTTGTGAATCTGCTTTTGCTTGGAAGTGGATCTGAAACGTCGGCAGTGGCGGGTTGTTAAAGACCGGTTGGCGACCATACGCTGGTTTTTGTTTCAGGAAGATCTGCCAGCACTGTCAGTGCCGTTGGGAGGAACATGGCAGCGCGGCGCCTCTGCACGACCTGGAGCGTTCTCTGTGCCATCTGGTTGGCGCACAACGGATGTCGTCGGGCGAAAGCAGCTCGGATACGGCTTCCGACAAATACACCTGGGCACCGCCTGGGCTGACACCGGAGCAGGTACCGCCTTTCATCGACCACCCACGATCATTTTTCTCCGACGGCTGTTGTTTTTCTAATTCGGAGATTGATCCGTGTTGGCTGCGCTTTGTCTTAGGTACACCAGTATTTCAGATGTCTGCCAGAAGACAAGGTCCCCTATCTTCAGAGCCCAGGAGAGAGGTACCGACTGAGGCAACTTCTCCACCAACTACCCCCACACGACAGCGAGGTGAGGAGAATGGCCAAGTCAAGGCTTGGCCGAGGATTGCCGTTCCTCAAGGCCCGGTTCGGTCTTTGGGCCTGTACTTTACCTTTTCTCTTTCCCTCCATCTCTTGATGCTTCTCACATTCTGCTTCCACCTATATTAGAAGGAAACCTTCTCACCAAATCTTCTTGGAGGGCCATAAATAATTGTAAAGCTGACTTCCAGGCTAAATACTTGGATACGATGCATGTGGGGTCGCCACCTTTTCTTCAAGTGAAATCCGAACACTCTAGCGACAAGCGGACATTTTTTTGGGGAGAATGAGTCGCGGCTTATTCATATGTAACTAGCACCGCCCATTCTTATGTAAATATCACAGTTGAGACTGTTTTTAGTGGAGGGCCAGTAGCCCTGGAATAAATGTCAGTCAAAGTACCGCAGCGCTGAATACTGAAAAATGGCCTGGATGGGAAGGGGGTCTAACACCGCGGATGTCAACTGGTTAATTTTGGTTGCCCCTGTCTGCCTGACATCTTGCGTCTGGGTTTCTGCCGCCATGAAACCCGAACACGGCATTCAAAACCCGGACTGTCCAGGTGAATCCCGGACAGGTGGCAACCCTAGATGCATGTAAGGGGGGATGTGTCAGGGAGATGGTGGTGCTCAGACAAGTTGGCTTGGTCCACAGTACACCAATTCATTCTACGGGAGCTGTTTTACCTGCCAAAGGACTTCATCTAGTCCTGAGATTAACACAACCATGCCACCCAGCCAGGCTGGTGACCTGACCAGGGCCGGATATCCCACAAGGCCAACCAAGGCCTTGGGGCAGCAGGGAGTAGAGGGGCAGCAGTGGCTGTCTGACCTCCAATTTGATGGTACCTGCAAAGTTCCAGGGCCCGAACCCCTAGGAAGAGCCAGCAGCCTGACACCAATAATCTTTAAGCTGTCTGTAAGGGGGCATTATTCCCACTGACCACCAGTGTAAGGGGGGGGCATTCTTTCTACTATCTACCACTGAAAGGAGCATTCTTCCAACTGTCCAACTGTGTAAGGGGCATTTGTCCCACTAACCACCACTGTAAGGGGCATTCGTCCCACTGATTACCAATGTAAGGAACATTCTTCCCACTGACCCCCAATGTAAGGGACATTCTTCCCACTGACCTCCAATGTAAGGGACATTCTCCCCACTGACCACCAATGTAAGGGACATTCTCCCCACTGACCTCCAATGTAAGGGACATTCTCCCCACTGACCCCCAATGTAAGGAGCATTCTTCCCAATGTAAGGTGTATCTATCCCAGTGAACCCCAATGTTAAGGGACATTCTTCCCAGTGAACCCCAATGAATTGGTTTTAGCAGGGTTCCCTTACCCCAGAAAATGATATCAGGGGTTCCCTTACCCCAGAAAATGATATCAGGGGTTCCTTTACCCCAGAAAATTATATCAGGGGTTCCCTTACCCCAGAAAATGATATCAGGGGTTCCCTTACCCCAGAAAATGATATCAGGAGTTCCTTTGGGGTAGAAAGGTTGAGGAAGGTCTGCTCCATCCTGTTCATCTGGCATGCCCTTTCCTTGAGTTTCCATTTCCTGTCTCTCTTCTTGCATGGTTCTATGGCAGACCCAGCGCTGCTGTTTGTTCTACACTAGGCCCAGTTCCGCTGTTAGTTGTAAGCCGGTCCTGTCCCAGGCCCGGTACTGCTGCTCTTTGCAGGGAGAGGAAGAGGAGGAGCTGCTAACGCTATTCAGTCGAAAACGGAAACTAGAGAACCTGGGTCGCGGAGCTGCACGTCCGGTCGCCAGAAGCACGAACGGGACGGTATGCAATAAGGTGAGAGCGTTATAATCCCCTCCTACCGTGAAATGTTCTCTACAGTGTCATTCACAGAACATGCTCCACACCGCGGCCTGCGTTCTATGAATGACTTCACACTGCGGCCTGCGTTCTATGAATGACTCCACACCGCGGCCTGCATTCTATGAATGACTCCACACCGCGGCCTGCGTTCTATGAGTGACTCCACACCGCGGCCTGCGTTCTATGAATGACTCCACACCGCGGCCTGCGTTCTATGAGTGACTCCACACCGCGGCCTGCGTTCTATGAATGACTCCACACCGCGGCCTGCGTTCTATGAATGACTCCACACCGCGGCCTGCGTTCTATGAATGACTCCACACCGCGGCCTGCGTTCTATGAATGACTCCACACCGCGGCCTGCGTTCTATGAACGACTCCACACCGCGGCCTGCGTTCTATGAATGACTCCACACCGCGGCCTGCGTTCTATGAATGACTCCACACCGCGGCCTGCGTTCTATGAATGACTCCACACCGCGGCCTGCATTCTATGAGTGGCTCCACACCGCGGCCTGCGTTCTATGAATGACTCCACACCGCGGCCTGCATTCTATTAGTGGCTCCACACCGCGGCCTGCATTCTATGAATGACTCCACGCCGCGGCCTGCGTTCTATGAATGACTCCACGCCGCGGCCTGCGTTCTATGAATGACTCCAGGAGTAATGTAAGGCTGACCCCTGCACTATACCATTTGATTGTAGAAATAGGGAGCATGGAGCCGGCTTCCCGGCCAATCAGGAAGTCGGGCAGTGTGTCATTACACCCCCCCGGCTTTCTGATTGGCCAAAAAGCTGGCTTCATGCTCCTTCCCCTACCTAATGACAAGGGAGCATGGAGCCGGCTTTCTGGCCAATCAGTAAGACGTGCGCCGTGTAATGACGCG